TCATAGTCCTTCAGCAACTCTAACCACCTCCTATGGCGCAAATTTAGATCCTTTTGCTTGAACAAGTGTTGCAAGCTCCGATGGTCAGTATAAATCTCACAAGGCACACCATATAAGTAATGGCGCCAAATCTTCAGGGCGTGAACAATGGCAGCTAACTCAAGGTCGTGAACAGGGTAGTTCTTCTCATGTATCTTCAACTGTCTGGACGCGTAGGCAATCACCCTACCATCCTGCATCAACACCGCTCCGAGGCCAACCCTCGAGGCATTACAATAGACTGTATAAGACCCCAAACCTGTAGGCAGTATTAAAATTGGGGTTGTGGTCAAGGCTGTCTTGAGCTTCTGAAAGCTCACCTCATACTCCTCCGTCCACTGAAATGGAGCACCTTTCTGGGTCAACCTGGTCATAGGGGCTGCAATCGATGAAAACCCCTCCACAAAACAACGGTAGTAGCCAGCCAAACCAAGGAAACTGCGGATCTCGGTAGCTGAGGATGGTCTGGGCCAACTCTGCACGGCCTCTATCTTCTTCGGATCCACCTGAATACCTTCACTCGATATCACGTGGCCTAAGAATGCCACTGAATCCAATCAAAACTCACATTTCGAGAACTTAGCATATAACTTCTTCTCTCTCAGAGTCTGAAGCACAGTTCCCAGGTGCTGCTCATGATCTTCCCGATACACCAGAATATCATCAATAAAGAAAATGACGAACGAGTCAAGATATGGCCGGAACACACTGTGTATCAAATGTATAAAGGCTGCTGGGGCGTTGGTCAGCCCAAATGGCATAACAAGGAACTCGTAATGGCCATACCGAGTCCTGAAAGCAGACTTTGGGATATCTGGTTCCCGAAACTTCAACTGATGGTAACCTGAGCGCAAATCAATCTTAGAAAACACCCATGCGCCCTGAAGCTGGTCAAACAGATCATCAATACGAGGCAAAGGATAACGGTTCTTAACTATAACTTTGTTCAATTGGCGATAATCAATACACATACACATAGAACCATCATTTTTCTTCACAAACAAGACAGGATCACCCCAAGGCGATACACTGGGCCGAATAAAACCCTTATCAAGCAACTTGTAACTGATCATTCAACTCTTTCAACTCAGGAGGAGCCATACGATATGGGGGAATACAAATGGGTTGAGTGCCCGGGTCGTACAGTCTCCTCGGGAACTGGTAGGGACCTGTTCCCTCAGCTATTCTTTCCATATCTGAAGAATTGAATCATATTCCACACTGAATCCCAACCTGGAACCTTGTGATCTTGAGGTCTTATAAATGTATAATAGGTTCCTTATCTGGTTCTGGATAGTAAGTTTGTTAGATCATCAAAACATAATGTAAAGTACTTGTAACCTATCAATTTCTCCCTTTTTTATGATGACAAACTTATAATTGTAAATCCTAGAAAGAGCCATTAAGAACAAGATTGTGAACCAGAAAGACCTTAAGTTCCCCCTGAAGCTCTGCATTCCCTTTAGTCAGCACCTGAACTTTTTTGAGTTCCCCCTGAATCTGTATTTTATTTTCAGATTATTATAGATTAATGCTCTCATTCATTCATGCATTCATACTCTTTATTATTCAATTCAATATTCCCTCTTTTGGCATCATAAAAAGTACAGAACAGGTTAGTAGATATAGAAGTCTAGCCTAGCTAACTCATGCCACTTATGTGCTCACAACATGATAGAAGACAGGAAAAAAAAAGAGCAGCATCATAGATAGCAAAAAGGAAATCACTTTCATTAACCAGAATTGGACTTTTACAGGTGGGAGCAGAATCTTTGTTTTCAGCCACAGTCTAAAACAAACAAAAAAATAATTGCTAGAAACAACAAAACATCACCAAAAACAACTTAATAAGATAGACACTACAAACTGTACACTAAGGAACATTCTTTATGGGACACTAGAGGAAGGGGGCTTGGAAGAGGAAGCAAGACTTTGGAGTAGAAGATCCATGCGAGCATTTGTGGACATTTGCTCATTGAGCAGTCTTTCTTTCAGGTCGTCCACCTGTTTCCTCAGTTCAGCATTCTCCTTTGTTAGGCGTGCAACCTCTGCTCATTGAGCAGTCTTTCTTTCAGGTCGTCCACCTGTTTCCTGAGTTTAGCATTCTCCTTTGTTAGGCGTGCAACCTCTACGCTATGAGAACTACTAGAATAAGGTTCCTCTTGCAACTAATTGAGCTGACTCTCAAGAATCGTGTTCCTAGCCTTCAACTTACGGATCTCCTTTGTAGCATTATTCTGAGCATTTATCTGTTGAGAGATTGTGGAAGTGCTTCCAACTCCTCTGAATTTGCCAATACACTCACAGTCCTCCTGGGTAGTTTTTTAAAATGATTGCTTTTTGGTTCCCATTTTGGCATGTCCCATAGGTAAAAAACTCAAAGACCTTTGTGAGAAGTAAACCATAAGGCAGTCCAGGATTCCCATCTCTAATGTTTTCTACCTTTTGTATATGCTCAATCATTATGGCATGACAATTGATGAAGGAAAAATTATCCAAGGCTTCCATAAGGAATAGGTCAGCTTTGGATACAACAGATCTTCTTTTAGCATGGGGAAGCAACACTTTGTTAACCATCTCAAAGAGCAACTAATAAACTAGAAGGAGTGCCTTCTTATGAACTTGTTCCCCATGTTGTACTGCCTTGTCTTTGACAATGGCATTTTTGAAGTTTGGTGTGCAAGCACCCTGAACAAGACAGTCCTTCGGTAGGAACACCCAAAATTGACCGCAATAAGGCAGAGTCCATCACTATGTCCACCCCATTAACCAACACATAGATTTGATCACCATCTACTGTGAAGAGGCTGGTGTAGAAACTCCTTACCTCGTCCTCATACACTATAGTAGCCTCACTTGTAAACAAATTGGTCCACTATTGAGAATCACAAATGTCCACTAATTGTCTCATCCCAGCACTCTCTAGAATGTCAGAGGCAAATGTGTGACCCTATAGCACTTTCTGATTCCCCAACTTTCTTTTCTTAGACCTTAGAGACCCACTGATTTTTCCTTTCTTGATGGAACCAGGTTCCTCATCATCATCATCCCTCTTTCTTTTCACTAACTTGCCAATGGACTTTTACTTCTCCACTAACTTGCTCTGTATATGTTCACCAGATTTTTCCACTTCTTGCTCATCAGACTAGTCACCACACTCCTTCACTGTCTTGTCCCAGAATGTTTTACCAACTTTTCACTGGAACTAGCAACAACACTCTTCGAAGAACTCTCAGCACCCTTAGAGGTGTGTCTTTTGGATTGAGAGAGAGAGTGCTTCTTCCATGAAGAGTTGTGGGTCAGGGAACTAGGTTCCTCTTTAGTTTTCTCATCCACATCCACTACAGGAACATCCTTTGCTTGTACAACTTTTCCTTCTTTGACCAACCTTCTCCTTCTCCGACACCTTTTACTCTTCTTGAGAGCAAACTCTAGAGTCTTCTTTTGCTGCAACCGTGTAATAAGTCGCTTAAGACGTGGCTCTGAAGTTACCACTATCTTAGTCCTAGACCTGATAAAACTTGCATAAACATCATCTATGTCTTCAGATGATCTCAAAATTCTTACACTGGCCATCAGATGAAAATCGTTTTGATTGGACTGAGAACTTGCACAGAACCCAACTCTAACCACGATGTCTAGTCTACTTGCAGTGAGATATAGGAGTGATTCAATGATGGCTCTATGCAAAAACCCTCTTTCCAACAGCTCGTTTTTCAGCTTCTGTTGTTGTAGAGGCGGGACATGGTTCCTTGCTAGAATTAATGGGCATTTTCTACCTTGATCAGTATTTATGTTCTATTTTGAGGCTAGTACATCAAGAGGATTCCTCTATCTCTTCGACCATCAGATTTTCAAATCTGACCCTTCCTATTGTTGAGAACATAACAATTGTACCCAGATATCCTCAATTGAGTCAGCAACTTTTGTCAAGACGTTTGCAAACCATTTATCAATTAATATTGACTGTGCCCTATTTTCAAGAGTCCTTTTCTTATTTTCAACAACTCCATCTGATGTGGTGTTCTTTGAGCTAAGTGGTTGAGTAATTCTTCTTTGAATAAAACATTCATCTACTTATGGCATTATCCAAACCTTTTCCATGATTTGATCGATGCAAGACATGTTTGTTTCTATCTGTACCTGGATCTTCTTGACAAAAGCCACGGTTTCTTAAAAGATCTCATCCTTGGTTTTGAAGAATTGTCTCCCCCTTTTGGGCTTGAATGAATATCTGACATGCTTTCCTTTTGCACATGCATTGTACACTTCATGTTACTTGTTACTCAACTTGATTAGACCACAAACCAGTTTCTCCAGATCCAATTTGTTTAGAGATAGACAACTTGCAATGCTCCAGTCTTTTGTACCATAGTTCAGCATTGTCTTTAACAGCTTTCAACCAACTTATATCTCCACTCTACAAAAGCTCAATCACAGCAACATAAGTACTCTTGTCTCTTTTGGCTATAGCATCACCTCACCAGTCACAGGATTTGAAATTGTGCATATCCTAGAAAAGAATTCCACCTTATTTCCTTTGACACAAATTTTCCAACTCCTAGAGCATACCTATTACATCCTACATTTTCGTATGTTAAAGTTTCTTCTTCAGTTTGACGTAGACTTGGGGATGAGATTTTGTTGGGATTATAAGTATTAAGCTATTTCAAACAAGTGATGAGTAAATTTGTGACGGTGAGAGGTTAAGTAAATCGAAGAAAATAAATTTTGTCGAAGATTGTCATGTTGGGATAAAATACGGTCCAAGCTATAATACCGGTATTTATGGCCTAGTGCCATACAAAGTACCACATGACCGCAATTATAAGGTGTATAAAGTGTGTTAAAAGTGAGTGGTATTTTAAGTAATTTGAGATAATTCCTAATAATGTGGATAATTAAATAATTATTAGTTAATAGGGATTAACAAATTAATTAAGGAAATAAGTGGTAAGAATTGTGATAAGGCTAAATTTCCCCCATGTGGCAGCAAACCACCTTATCATTCATGACTCATTAAGTTATTAGATAAGGTGGAAAAATAAGGGATATGGTGGCTGCCACATCCACATAATTTGTAGGATGGGAAAATAAGATTTGATAAGAAAGCTTTTGTAAGTAAGACACTTACGTTGGAGTCTCAAACATGATTTTACAAAGTGACTTTTGTTTCATATATCTTCCTTCATAAGACTCTCCTACAAAGTGAGACACTTTGACGTGATTTTGCTCATCAAAAATTTCATACGAAATTATACTGCGTAATAGCAACAGGATTGTGATTCTAAGAGAGTACAGTGCAATCTTTCTCAAGAATATCATACGGATTTTCCCCTACTTCGATCCGCCGTTACGTGATTTGTCACAAAAGATGTGCGATAGAAGAATTGTCAAGAGAATCGGCTCAGGTATGTTAAGGCTATCCGTTCTTTCCTTTTGGCACGATCCATATGATGCAAACAAAATGAGAAAATATACAACTTCCATAAATGATTCTATTCATAGAAATGCTAAATATACTTATATTCCTTATTCCCCATGTGTCATATTATTCTATAGTCTGTTCATGGGTCTCAGAAAATACGTATGCTGAAAAAAGTTTACTTCATGAGATTATTCAAAGACACAATGGTCTTATGACATTTCGAAATATTTTATTGACGTACTTCTCATGCATTGCATTCACATATAAATGTACGTTGACCCATGACCAGATGGCATTATATACGCGTATATATGTATATAAGATATGGGAAAAGTTTATGGCGTTATATACATACCACCACCTGATCAGCTGGTATACGTTGATGATTTTGCCCATAGTGGCCGAGATGATATGATGGGATTCCCTTAGAGGCTTTATGATGTTATGAAACATGTACCTGTGCACGACATGACATTCATACGCATATGCATGACAATATAATTATTTCATGATTTATAGAGTTATCCAAACTTACGGATTGAG